AAAAAAAAAAAAAAAAAAGTTTTTTGAAGTTGAGAAAATACCACACAAATACTTTTCAACAATCAAAACACTCAAAGAAAAAACCCTGAGAAAGAGAAAGGCTGATTTCCAGGTATTTCAGCAATGCTCATGAACAGAATAGGTCAACTGCATGCCTGCAGTTGAAGCCACTTGTAAGCCTGAAGCACAAGGATCATTTGAAGGCATGCATGAGGTAATCTAGCAAAGCAGTAATTAACTAACTAGGCTGAGGATATAGCTCAGCAGCACAGCCTGTTTGACAAACATGAGGTCTTGAGTTCAATTCCCAGTACCCCCCCAAAAAATACAAAAAAAAAAAAAAAAAAATAGAAATCCCTGAGGAAGCCCAGACATAAAATTTGGTAGCACACTTTAAATCAAATATCACAAATACATTCAAAAATCTAAAAGAGGAGCTGGAGCAATAGTTTGGCAGTCTAAGCGCCCGCCCGGCAAGCATAACTACTCAAGTTCAATCTCTGGCGCTGTATGCCATGCAGGTCCCAAGCTGAGCCAGGCACTGAAACTGGGCGTGGTGGTGCACACCTATAATCCCAGCGCTGGGGAGGCTGAGACAGTAGAATCACTATGAGTCTGAGCTGCAGAGGGAGACCCTGTACCAAATAAAATAAATAATTTTTTAAAAAGTTTTAAAAAGCTAAAAGAAAATAAGCAAAAGTATAGGAAACAAACACATCAAGAGAATGATGTACAAATAAAATAAGTATAACAACACAAAGGATTCAAGATGGAAGATCCGCAGCACCCTGTATACACCTACTTCTCCAAAGACAGAATCAAAACAACTGGAGCCAGGGATAAAGCTCAGTGGCATAAGTGCCTGCCTGGCAAATGCAAGGCCCCAAGTTCGATCCCCCAAACCAAAAAAAAAAAAAAAAAGAATCAAAACAACTGGAGAGGAGCTACATATAAAGGTAGATAACTATGATATAAGATATAATGATGATGTTGGACAGTAAACAAACTGAGACTTAGAGAAACTCAAAGCTCTGGAATACAGGGTTTAAAAAAAGAAGGTCTCTGTGCTTCTTGATTACAGATTACTGACAAAATTGGAAGAGGAATCACAAGAGGTGAACCCTATATATTCTGTAATCTATATCACACCAGCCTAAACTACCAGAGGGCTATCACTCACTAGACCTAAAAGAACACAGGTCCTTCAAGCCCCTACACAATATACACTGTGTACAAAAAAAAAAAAAAAAAAAAAAATCTCAGCGCACATCAACTGGTGCTTATTAAGAAGGTCCTCAGTAGAGTCAGGGAGATAGCTCGGTAGAATAAGTGCTTGTCTGGCAAGTGCAAGGTCCTGAGTTCAATCCACAATACCACAGAAAAAAAGAAGGTCCTCAGAGAAAGATGGAACAGAAATCCACATAAAAAGATAAGCAAATCTAAACACAGAAACACAAAAATATTTTTTAAAAAATGAACATAACAACTCCTAAAGTCCATAATCTCTAGTAACACATTCCAAAAATACTGAACAGAAAATTCTGAGAGAAAACTCAAAAAAATGATTATTTAAAAGCTCAATAAACCATATCCTGTAGAGACTTAAAGTTTAACATATCAATACTTGATGGAAAATACCTGTTCCATGTTATGCCTAAGATGTTTGATATTCAGACAGATAGTGAGGTTAAACCCAACTGCATATGTTGTAGGGTAATAATAAGCTTCTCTTCTGGAGGGTTAACAACTTAAGTTTACAGACCAAAAATTAGAGAAAAAGAGGGGCTGCAAGGACAGCCAACATTTTGGCCCTAGCCTTTCAAGATCAGTGAAGACTCAAGACATAAGAGAACTTATACTGTAACATCATGTAATTCAGAGATGCCCCAAATTTTCTGATCAAGGAGATTATGGGGCCACAGAGGAATGTGATCAATGACATAGAGTGTGCTTAAGGAGAGTCACACAGAGTGAAAACATTTTCTCAGGCTTTCACAGAGAGCAAATTGGTCAAGCAATGGCCGTGACTCATCCACATGGCTGACACTGACAAAAGATCTACAAACTGTGGTATAGAGTAACAGGATAAAGCCTGAGGGGACTTGACTGACCTTATCAGATACAAAAGATACATTTCTTGTTATATATGTCTTGCTTTATCTTGGTCTTAACAATCCAGCAGAAAAGTACAAAGACGAGGTATAAAAAATAAAGGCATATTAATATGCTGAGCTGTAAAAGGCGAAAGTCAACAACCTCTGACATTGCCAGTCCTATGGATAACCCACTACTGTTAAGGACTACTGGACTATATTAGATTATTTTGCTGAATTCACACACCTACAATATTTAAATGGTAATGGAATACCCATCTCTAACAAAACTAAACAAAAAACGGGATACAAAAGAAGGACCATTTTGTATCTGGATATGCAAAATAAGACAGACGACATACAGCTACTTTCTCTTATTTCAATGAGAAGAAAGATTTGTACTAATAGTATTTGGACAGGATATCATGTCTGCATCTTGTACTATGAATAACCAATAGGAAGATAACAATATGCAATGTATTAATTATTGAAACTGTTCTATTAATCGGTTTTGAAACTGTCTCATTGCCGTTTCTCTATAAAATAAAAAATAAAAGCTGAATGAATTCAAAGAGAATACAACTAAACAACTGAATTAATAAGATAATGTAGGATATGAAAGAGCAATTCCACAGATATTTTGAAATAGAATGAAGAAATCTAGAAATCTTCTAAATGAAAAGCACACTGAAAAATATTAAAAAATACTTCATAGAGAACCTATTCAATGAAACAACAGAACATTTCCCAGGGCCAGCCAAATAGTTCAGTGGATTAAAGTGCCTGCAAGCAGGCATAGGGGACAGGGGTTCGATCCCCAGGCCTGCTGTGCCAGCCCCGCCCCCGGGACGCATTGAGACAGCAATTGAGACCGGTCATGGTGGCGCGCATCTGTAATCCCAGCTCTTGGGAGGCTGTAAAAAGGCAGATCACTATGAGTTCAATCTAGTAGTGAGACCCTGAGCACCCTGTAAGGGGGTTTTCTGTGGTTTGTACCTGTAGCTCTTCTATTATGTGTATTCCAATTATATGTAACTTTAACAGTGTCCCAAGATCTTGTATGTTTTCTAAAAATATTTTTACTATATCT